CAGCCATACAGTAGAACAGAGCGGACTGCTGTGCAGTACACGCGACCCTTAATAGACAAACGAATATCACGGCGGCGCCATAGGTGGCGCAAATTGGCAAAAGCCAATCGAGCCTTTTGTATCCGTGCAGAAATCTCATCGGCAACTAACCCACCGGGTTGATCCTACTTCCCAGGTAAGTGAAGTGGTCAACACACTCAACCACTTCACTCTCTATTGTTAACCGCGGTACCGCTGAAGACCAGTCCTGGAGCAAAAATTTGCATTTGGGTGGTGAAAATCGCATCCCAAACATTCTCAAATTCCCACTCAAAGTGTTCAGAAGACTCTGCATCTTGTCAGCGTCTTCACCTAACAGGACTATGTCATCTGCATATTCTAGATCTAAGGAAAATTCACCTGTGATCCGGTCAACGTCTTTGTAATTAGGTGACGAGAGGGAAACCTCCATAAGAATATCTATGATAAAATTAAATAAGAATGGGGATAGTGGGCATCCTTGACGGACACCACTTGATGAGTATAGCTCCCTGGACAACTCACCATAGGCTCTAACATGCCCACAAGTGTTCGAGTAGAGAGCTTTCAATAAGGTGATGTACTTACTAGGCACGCCTTTCAGTGACAGACACTGCCATAAGACTTCTCGATCAACGGAGTCAAATGCCGCCTTCAGGTCGAGAAATACAGCTATTGTCGGGCGTCTGTAAGCATGCCTATGTTCCAGGACCTGGCGCAGTGTGAATATTTGGTCGATACATCCACGGCCAGGTCTAAAGCCTGCCTGGTTTTCTCGGGCTTGCTGTTCCCGAGCTCCACTCAGGCGTCGGAGAATTATAGAACTTAGGATCTTAGACACTATGTTTGTCAGGCTGATTCCTCTGTGGTTATCACAAGAGGACTTCTCGCCTTTCTTGAAGACTGGGATGATGAGTGACTTAGACCAGTCGGAGGGGATCGTATTTGATTCCCATATACTGGCTAACACTTCCGTTAGCCTGACTAAGAGAACTCTACCACCATTCTTGTATACCTCAGCAGGTAGTCCGTCTGGTCCTGCTGCCCTTCCCCGTTTCAGGCTACCTACCGCTTTCTCAACTTCTTCTAGTGTTGGGGGACCTGTCTCTATGTCCCATTCAGGGTCCGACTGGATAGCGGGCAGCGCAATGGTGGCTGGAGGCCAGTTAAACTGTTCCTCAAAGTGTTCTGCCCATCGTCCCAGTCGCCTTCCCTGCGAGTGAATCGCCGATCCGTCCTTCTCCGCTATAACCTCACTAACTGTTGTTGACCATTTCCCCCCAGTCTCCTTAATAAGTCTAAATAACTGTCTACTGTTACCGATCGCCGCTGCCTTTTCCATCTCTTTAGCCTTTGCTGCCCACCACTGTTCACGATCGTTGCGCAGACTTTTCGTCAGTTTATTTTTAAGTTGCGCTCGCTCTTCATTGTACTCAGAGCCTGCAGGGATGCATTCACGTGCATCCATTAGTTTGGAAGAAGCTGCTGATATCCACTGGCTCTTTTTAGCCATTCTTTTGGAGTCGGCTACAGTCTTCAGTGCTGCTTTTACAGCAGACTGAAGATGGCACCAAGCTTCTGGATGAGTGACAGTTTTTTCCTCCGATAACTGCCTAGCCAACTTCTCACTGAACACGGCTTTGGTGTTTTCGTTGTCCAGCAGAACTCGTAGTGGTTTTGTTGCCAAATTTTTTCTACGTCCATTGAGACGCAGGCATATACGTGCTCGGACCAACGCATGATCGCTGTCCAAACACGTACTCCAGAAGGAGCGGCAGTCTTCCACCGATCCTCTCCAGCGATGACTAATAGCAATGTGGTCTATCTGTGTCCATCGCTGAGTCGAGCTCGGTGGACGCCAGGTCAGACAGTGCCTTTCTTTATGTCTGAAATTTGTGCTGGCTAAAAATAGGCGGTTATCTGAGCATAGTTGTAATAGGCGATCACCGTTATCTGTACGTTCAGCTGGGATTCCGAAAGTGCCACCTAAGTGCCTTTCTGCCTCACTCAGTCTACCCACCTGTGCGTTGAGGTCACCTGCAACAACCACTACGTCCGAACGTTTGGCTTTCGAGAGGAGGTTAGACAGTTTATGGTAGAACTCGTCCTTCACTTCATCCGAACTACAGTCAGTGGGTGCGTAAGCAGAGATTACAAAGAGACAACGGCGAGTCTCACTATTCCTTTTAGTTCTCACTGTGCCGTTCAGCCTCATAGCGCAGAGGCGACTATCAACTGGGATCCAGTCTAGTAGTGAGTTTTCTGCCCTGGTGCTTAATGCTATACCTACACCTGCAAGACCACGAGAGCTAGCTATCGAATCTCCAGAAACTCGAAGGGTGAATTTTGCAGATTCACCAGATTGGTCAGGAGAGGTCAGGTGAATAACCACACTTGGGTCCTGTATGCGTGTCTCACAAACACAGCACACATCCATGCCTCGAGTTGCTAGAGTCTTTGCTAACGAAGCCTGTTGGCCAATTTGACGGAGGGTGCGGACATTGAAGGCTCCAATATGTAATTTGGAGCGTGGTTTAAGGAGACCAGGGATGTTGTTCTGTGGACTCAGATCGTTGTCGAAGGCTGCAGAGGTAGGAGAAATTGAAGATGATGCAGCATCATTAATTAAGAGACGTGAAGGAAGATTAGAAGGTAATGATGCGGGAGGTGGGTAGTCTGAGGAAACTTGGGTGCTGACCGAGTTGTGAGGGCGGTTGACACTTCCCGGCTGCCCACACCGTGGAAGGCTATTTCTTCTTAAGGTACCTGAAAAGATTTGTGTGACCGCAGAGCCCATCGGACATCTGCTTGAGACCTGTCACACACAGCTTTTTGTATATGATTATTTTGAACTTTTGTACTTTTGGGGGCGGATAGTCGAAAAGAAACGACAAATGAACCAACACTGCCAGCTCGACAGACCGTGGGGTGTGTTATTTGTAGGACCAACCTTTTCTAACCCCCACTTCCATTGAGAAGGCAGTAACAGTATGGCACTGCTGGTCATCCAAGGGAAACACCTTACTGCTGTCACACCCCATCCAGCCAGCACCAGTACGACTTCGCCCTCAGACCCCCATCACAGTATAGTAATTTACACCACAACGGTGACTGCTTTTCGTCCTATCACTATCCAACAGACCTTTCTGGTATGGTAGAACCTCGAGGGAACAAGCGTTCCACCAGCATAGCTCGTTGGGTCATTGTGATATGCAAGCCCGACCACCACGTCAAGGTAGCAGCTATCGGTCGGGGGTCTGGACTAGCGATTAGTATGTCGTCTCAATAGGCGTAGGCGAAGTCTAGCCCACGTAAAACATCGTAAATAAAACATTGGAAAGTTTGTGCTGCGTTGCGAAGACCAAAGGGCATGTGAAGGAACTCAAAAAGACCAAACGGTGTAATGACAGCTGTCTTGGGAACATCATCAGGATGAACTGGAATCTGATGATATGCACGCGTCAAGTCAAATTTACTGAAGATAAACAAGCCTTTTATAGATGCAGTCAAGTCGTGTATGTGAGGGACTTGGTAACGATCTGGAATCGTTTTAGCGTTGAGCCTTCGGTAGTCACCACAAGACCTCCAGTCCATGCCATTGTTCTTTGGTGCCACATGCAAGGGTGAAGACCATGGACTGTTGGATAGTCTGATTATTCCCATTTCAAGCACATGTTCATCATTTGTTTTAACTATTCTAGTTCGAATGTTATGGATTTTTACCATTTCGAACTATATTATTTCCTTTTCTTCCTTCGTATTGCCTTATATCACCAGTACTTCTTTAATGCCTCAGTAAACCAAAGAAGTATAAAGTCAGACACATTTATGTCTGTCGTGACTCAGTGGCCCAATGCACAACGCTCTGGTGTTTAGAGTGAACTAGTCCTGGGTTCTTGTCTTAGTAGGAACAATACCTCTCACTGGGGGAGGTAGGTACACGCAACTAATGAGTCCGAAATAGGAAGAAACGCACCTCCTAGATTCAACTGCTAACCAATATTCATCATCGCTACCATACATGTATATGAAATTCAAATTTGGCTTATATTTCTTTTCTTATATGTTTAGTAAATTAAAAAAAACACTATGCATAAACTAATGCGCAACAACCTCTCATATTTCCTTATGCTGGACTACAAGCCACATCTAACACGAATGTTTTTCATAGGGCATAACTGTCCAAAAGAAAGCAGATTTCATGGATGTCGAACCCATGATCAATTATTAAAAACCAAGTGTTTAGACTACTAAACCAGCCCCATTTGCTAGTGGAGTTTTAAAGATAATGAATTGCAGAAACTAAGTAGCTCAAATCTAATAATGGAAACCGAAACTTTTTAAGGGTTTATTCTTCATAAGCTGTGTTAAATAAACTTTGATATGAGTGTGCTTGCACTTCATATATCAAAATAAAAAGCAGATTGTCAGTTGAACTGTTTTACACTTGTCAGGTATAATTTACACAAAAACTGCAGTAATATATTCGTAGTTCGTTCTCTCAAGATATGTTTATTGGTGGGTTATGAACTCTTATCTGATGAACTAGGTGTCAGTAAAATAGCTCACTGATCCAGGAGCTTAACTTCAAGTAGTGGGTTATGAGTCTGAATCCTGCCCAGTTTGGTGATGTTTGTGGGGACCAAGTAGTCTTATCATTATCCCTCTTAATAGGTTTAACATGACCTATTTTTTGAACCTAAACATGGTTGCTGCCGTCTATTAAAGTGTATCCAATACGTTAGATGAAGTCACACTAAAGTTATTTGTGTGTGTGTAAGTAATTTAAAATAGGAATTATTTGCTTTCTTTCAGTCATCACTATTTTGTAAAATTAGTTAACTCATTGTTACAAACTCATAAGCGAGTACTTTTTATTGTTGTGCATACTGATTCACCTGTAGTAATTTATGCTTGACTTTTTCTATTACGTGTACATTAATAATGTGGATGTTAATATGACGTCTATTTGTATATTATAGTGATAATCATGAAAAGCACAGTTCCTCTCGCAAATACCGTCACCGTAGTCGTTCACGTTCACAGTAAGTATCAACACTTATAGTACTTTGTATCAAAATATTTCAAGGAGAATAGCATTCCTTCTCTAGCTTTTTTTTAGCAATTATTACTAATATTAATAAACTGTATCTTCTAGGTTGATTTGTGTATTTTTTTCCCTATATTATTCTAACTTGTGGATAGTCGCTTACTGCGAGTATATTCATTTACTTTTGACTGTGGAATACAACGTTTTCCATCGGAGGTATCACTTCTCTTTAAATACGGGTTCTCTAAAATGTGACACTGGCAAACTCTCTGACTTTATTCCTGTAATTCACCTCCGGAATTTGGCCTTTTTAGTGTGCTTTATTTCACACTAAACAACCTTGCGTTATTTATTCTCTTATAAGAAACTGTTTATTGAAGTCACCTGTTTGTGTAAGATATAACTCTTCAATCGATCCAACCTACCTAATAGTATCATATTATCTAAAATATTACTAAAATGTCTATAGATAAGCAAGTGCATGCTTTCTTTGTTTTGGCATCTCGATATGTTACTTATCTCACTATTTTTCTAGCCCTTCATATGTTTCGTGGATATTATTAAGGTGTTTACCATTTCCTAATTACTCTCTACCTTGTTTACCACATAAAATTCTCCTTTTTTGAATGTAAGTAACTATCAGTTCTCCAGTAGCATTACCTAGTCTGTTTTCATTATAGATACATGTTGCTTTTGTCATGCAAAGGCTCTTCCAGCCTGTGGAAACTTTTTAAAGACCTCACTAGTAATAGTAAACACTTCAGTAAAGAAGCGTGTATTAACGTCTGTGCTTTAAACAAATCGTTTACCCACCAACCCAGCTATACCACCTCACTCTCTTCGCCTGATTCCAATGAAGAATGTTGTCGTAGATTCACCAAGACAGATGTTTTCATGTGAATCAAATCCTTGAACCCTTCCCACAGTCTGGATGACATATCATATTCATATTCACGAAATGTCCTTATATGTTATGCAGCCCATTAACTAACATGTTTAATCGATCGTTTTTAGAAAACACTGTACCAACTGCCTGGAAAAATATGAAGATAGACCCACTACCTAAGTTGGTGACTCCAGGTGCATGTTTAAAATTCCGTCCGATTCCAGTTACTTCTCCATTTTTAAAAATAATGGAGTAGCTGGTGATACCTGTGCTTGAACCCTCATTGAAGGTTTTTGAAGATTCTAGTTGATTTGTATACAAAAGCAAAAGAAGCACTCTGGGTACCACCACTGCCTTACATCACAATATTCCTTTTAATCTTGATAGAAATGCCAAGTATTTTAGGTGTGCTTTTTTAGACAATACTTTTTGATTCGATTCTGTCCCAAGACCTTTTTTGCTAGACAAGTTGGCCGGAATAAATACTTAGTCCTAGATAATCAGCTGGGTTAATTCCTACTTCTCTGAAAGGAGACAATATACCGTTCGCTGAGAGAAGCGCCTCACCTCATTGCTTACTGAGGCTAGTGTTCCCCAAGGTGCCTTCGTTTCCCCGGTCATTTCTTTCTTTTTGCATGACGCTATCCTTCATCTAGCATCAGTTCTTATCAAATATGCTAGTGACCTGACAGCTTTCGTACTTGTCTCCTCTTCATCAAATTATTCCCAACTAAATGATTTCTTATCTACTACTGTATGATGGTCCTTCATGAATGTTCGTGTGCTTAATTCTTTAAGGTATCAGACTGTAAACTTAAGTTTCAGGTGCGAACATAACCTATGCAAACTGCTTAAGTCTCATGTTTCCTGTTCATAGCTGTATATTGGAGGATGTTACAAGAACCATTTATCTCGGCGTGCACTTTTCTTCTGACCTCTTGTGGTTCTCCTACATCTTACTTATTTCCAAAAGAATCTTTCACTTAACTTAGTACATTAGAAAGCTGAGAGTATCTCACATAACTCAGCCTCTTTTATGTTTTATAAACTCCTGCATCTTGCCTATTCTCCTCTATTGTCCACCTTTATTCTCTATATTGGGTAAAACTTTAAAGACTATCAGCAGAACTAGTGGTATACCTACAAACCTTCTAATTAAACCTGTTATGGACAAACAGCTTAACTCATGTAAACATCTGACAAGAGTTATTTTATCAGATGACCAACATCCTATTCACTCAAACCTCCCTGCCTGTCAGTCCTCAGGGGAGACCAGAAGCTAGTTTATAGGACTTTATGCAAAGACTACTCAGTATAAAAGGTCTGCCACATCTTACTTAACTCGCATTCTGTGCAAAGACGGGAGTATTAGGAATGAACTAATTCATCAACTTTCGTTTTTTAAATCAAATCAAACCTTCCTATTAAATTGGGGGATTTAGTGATTTTTCCAGTTGGTATTCATGATGGACTGATATCGGTTGGAGGAACATTGGAAACCTGGGAGCACTGGACAGCTGTTACAACCTGGCATGGGACTCCTCGGCAGTGCACGCTCAGACTCCGCCAGGGATCGAACCCAGGACCTTCAGGTTCCGTGGCCAGCACGTTACCATTGAGCCACTGGGTCGGAATTCAATCGTGGTTCAATGTTAACGTGCTGGCCACGGAACCTGAAGGTCCTGGGTTCGGTCCCTGGTGGAGTCCGAGCGTGCACTGCCGAGGAGTCCCATGCCGGGTTGTAACAGCTGTCCAGTACTCCCAGGTTTCCAATGTTCCTCCAACCTATGTCACTCCACCATGAATACCAACTTGAGAAACACCTTCCTATTATTTATGTATTATGAATCTAATTGCTAATGGAACTGTTTACCTGCCTTGTGAAAAGCGTTGTAGGTGGAGTAAATATTCGTATCTTTTATATAATTTCTATTTACTCCATTTTACGATGTATGCATGTAAGCTGTTTCTGTTCATTTGATACTGCATGATATGCTGAAAATTCTGCACAGTATTCGCAAAATATTGTTCAGGGTAAAGCTATTATTATTATTATTCGCCCGATCAGTAGAGATTAACTTTTATTTGATTAGATTTTCACATACTGTATTGTCAGTTCACTTATTGGAAAATCGACAAGTCAGATCATGTGACTGATATAAGTCTCCGATGATCACTTTCAGTCCTGGTTTTATTTCCAACAAACACAATGGATAGATCTTATTCTCTTGACTATCTCTGAGTTGGCCCAGCGGAACTCCTCATTCGATTTTATGTTTCTTTTTATTGATGCCGATAAATTTCCACAAGGCTCAATTTCGAATGAGCGGCAGTTTCTATCCTCAACAAGGTATTCTATACGAGGTCTCCAACAGTATGGCTAGATGGAGTACCATGGTCAATACGGTTCGTTACAAATGCAGATCTGTCTTTACTTTTCACTTGTTTCTTGTTTGAGGAAAATTTGAATTCCTTTCTGTGACTTTTGACTGATTTGATCGTTATCTGGTCTGACTTGAATGTCTCTTAGCAGCTACAAGCACGTTTGTGCACTGGACAATGAGCTAAACGTGTTGCGTGAGGACTAACGATACATGACTGCGTGAATCTCGGTATGTGAATTGGGACTTCAAACCCCATGATCCACTAGTTGAAAGTCAAGTGCCTGGACCATTGATTCATATTTCAACGATCTGATTTAACGCTACTTTGTACTGTTGCAATAGAAAAAAAAATGGAGAAGTTGAAGTCCTCCATTTTTAATCCAACATAAATTGATGTCTTTTCTCAAAGTATATAGTCTTTCCATGAAGAATTTTTCGATGTTTTCATCAGCTAGACTTCACTGTTTTGGATCTTGTAGTTGAGTAGTAATTTTGCATGTTGCATGCCGGTTTATGAGAAATCGGAAACCTAGAGAATTGACCCCATAGTAACAACAGAACAACGTTGAATAAAGTTGGAGACACTAACTATCCTTGATGATGATTACTTTTTACCCCTTTCAATTGACAACTCTGCGATTTCTCACACAGACACACCAGTTGTTTGGAGTTTTCAACAATGGTATTTACTTACCCAGTTTCTTTGAATCTGTTTTCCAATCCCACTCATTTTGTCCGAAATTGCTTTATCAGTTCAATGAATAGCAGTGGGAATTGTTTTACTGTAAGCTATCTAATAGTGGAGTCCAAATAATTGAATTTGAACATTGTAGTTGGAGACGAAACTATAATTTTCAATACTTGAAGGTTCTGTCTACTGTGTTTTCATGGAACTGAACTTATCTATTAGTGTATTTCCCACATAAGTTTTGCAATTAAGAGGTCAGACCAAGCTAATCTAAATCGTTTGGCATGCTTAGAGCAAATCGCCAAGTCAAAGTATATATGAGTGAAAAGAATGAAGTAATAGGTTGCGGTATAATTGACTGCCTAATAAATTTCAAACCAACAATGTTTAAGTAACACGGCGAAAAATTGCTGCTAAGGTAGGAAAGCTAAGACAAAAAATCAAGTGCTTCAATAATTACTTATCTAAGTATATCAATATATTCATGAGTATATTATTAGATTATTTGTCCCTTGGGTTCGTAGTGAAACATACGGCTTCACTAGCACGTCTCCAGTGCACCCTCTTCTCTGAAATCTTCTGAACCTGGCTCCACGACTGCCCAGAAGCTCTCATTTCTTCCTCACACCATCTCCTCCATGTAACCCTCGGACGCCCAACTCGTCACTTCCCATCTGGGTTCCACTCGAGGGCCTGACGCGTGATGTCCCCGAATGGTCTTCTCAGTTCATGCCCAATCCATCTCTACTTCCTTCTGCATATTTGTTGAGTGATAGGTTCTTGGTTGGTTTGTTACCAAGCAGAGTGAGTTCCTTGTTGCTTATTCTTTCTGGCCATCTGAGCTTCAGTAAGGAACCAGCATAGTCAGTTGTTGATGAGTATCCGTAGTTTTTTTGGGAATGCTTTTCGTAACGCCCAAGTCTCTGAACCATATGGAAGCACTGACTTGACATTGGTGTTGAAAATCCGGATGTTGTTCACGCTTTATGCTGAGTGCAGTGCAGTAGATCTCCACATTGATTTCAGATCAATGAAGGGCTGTCTTGTTGTCTTTCCGATCCTGGCTTTGACAACCTCATCTGTGCCTATGTCGCCTGTAGTTGAAATGATGCTGCCTGCCTAGGTAGGTGGAAGAGACTACTTCCTTTAGGTTTTTCCCGATGATAGTGATTGGTGCCTCTTGTTATTCATGCTGTTGTTGGGTGGGTATCTTCCTTACCTCTGTCTTCTCTACGTTCACGTGAAGTCCCGTCTTCGCTGCTCTGCCTCTTCTGTCAACTTGTTGGCTTCTGGTTGTAGATCTTCGAGTTTGTGCCACAAGACATTAGACATAAATCATCATGGGTGAAATCCAAATCTTCTAGACTATTTTCCCCAGTCCAGCCAGCGTATCCCCCTCTTCTTGCTCGTCACGGTTTGTTGCATAACCCAGTCGACGACAATCAGGAAGATCATCGGTAATAGTAGGCGGCAGCCTTGTCTTACTCCTGTCTTCACTTCAAACACGTCGCTGACTTTTCCATTGTGAATCACTCGGTATGTAGCATCGTATAGCATATAGTTGTTGAATGAGGTTGGTAAAGATTTGTGGCACTCCGTAGAGTTGAAGCAACTGCCTATCAAATTACTTCTCAGTCGACGCTGTTGGAGGCCTTTTCAAAGTCGATGAAGTTGAGGTAGAGAGTTGACTGGCATTCTATGCTCTGTTCTTTGATGATACGTAGCGTAGCGTTGCAATTTGATCCGCACATGATTTGTTCTTCCTGAATCCAGCCAGCCAGCCTGTTCCGGTCGCAATTTTGAATCCAGATCACCTTTTAATCTCTCCAGTATGATGCGGCCTAATATTTTCCTTGGAGTGAACGGCGGTGGAGCATGATTTCGCACCAGTTCTTGCAAAGACTTTGGTCAGCCTTCTATGGGAGTTTGACAAGGTAGCCCTTCTTCCAGTCGTCAGGTACCTTTCCTTCCTTCCTTGCAAACCTACTGCAATGGTGGTGTGAGCATGAGTAATTGTAAGAAAAGTGCAAATAGTATTGGCAATGCAGGTGTTATTAGTAGCAGAAATAGTGTTGGGGATGATGTTATATCTCCAAAAATAAACGTTTTATGCTGAGATTTTATAAATTTATCTAACAGAAAATTTGAATGATCTTTTTCGCACCCTACACCTGTCGCTCTATTTTACCGCCGTCAAGAAAACTTTTCTTATTGGTTTATCTCCAACCTTTAATATGCTACTTTGTCCGTTCTCCCCAAAGACGCATGCACTGTATATAAACAAAAGAGCTTTCCTTCATACCTTCATGCTTCGGTTGGAGTTAAACTCGCTTCAGTCTAGTGTTGTCTTGTCAGGTGTTGTATTGTTCGTCCAGGAACCAGGTTACGCGTCCCAAGTTAATCGTATCCGAGAATGTCAACAGGGAATTCAAGACGTCTGCTATGTAACAACACAAGTAAGGCACTTCAGTTATTTTCAATAAGGCTGAAATTAAATTGGCACTTGAACCTACAAACTTACTTGGAAATAAAGTTTTTAGGTTAAAAGATCCTATTGATCTAATCAGGTAACGTAATTTAGCTTACCGATTACCCTACAGTGTTTGAGGAGTCAAGTATACTAGTCAGTGTGGTTGACCAGGTTCAATTTGGCTGTTTGAGCACAAAAATTTCCCTAATTTGGGACTGGTAAGCCCTAGTAACTCAGGAAATCTAAAGAAGAGCTTGGATGTATCTATGCCCACGATTACATACGATAAGATTGAACAGAACGGCACTATTGAAGTCTAATTTAGTTGAATGGAGTAAGAGATTGATAATCGAATCTTTGTTTATCTAATCAAGACCCAGTACACACAATGGGAATTCTTCAGCACCTGTTTCAGATATTTGAGAGGTTCTTCCATCAAAGCTGGAGAGATAATTCAAACTACGAACTATATGTAAAAGTTGTGAAGTCTCTTACATATATGTATGGACAATGAGTTGTGTCTGAAGCGTTGTCTATGCGGTGAATAATGCTATTTCATTGCATAGTAGATCTAATAAAGAAACTAAAATGTAATTACAGTCTGCCACAGTGCCCAAACTTCACTCTTATTCTAGTCAAACAAACTTCCTATAATCACTTTAGTGTTCTATTATTTATCCTTAGAAAAATTAAGTCCTGTTTTATTTTCCTATCAGAACTTTACTTCTCATCTTTAATATATTCATACCAATCAAGTAATTTGATGTAGTCATTGTCATTAAATCACGTTTCATTGAATAAGCTTACCGATATGGTTTTTTGTTTCTGACTTGTCTCAAATTCTGTCCATACTGAAGTCTAATTTCATTTGTGTTGTAGAAGTGTGCATTTTAGCCTTAGCATTCCAACGAACTTTGACCGATTCCAGTAAACTCTGCTTACCATGACATTTAGACTATCGTGAATACAGATGTATGTATTAAAACTTGAAGGTCCCTCACTGTTTGTTGGTTTCACTTGGGGGGATGATTTGTGGAAATGCATCGATAATAAAATAGAAGTCGGTGAATATGTGTAAACAATATAGTTGTCATATAAAAATCGGTAACAGGAGACTTCAGTGTAGAGAAGCATCTACCAACCATCCAAACAAAATATAATCATTTTAACTCACTAGCTCAGGGAATAACACTGCTGTTTGAGGTCATATGTAAAAGATCTGAGATTCATTGAGAACTCCAGGTGATTGTGAAACGACTCCTAGTGTTTGCTTAATACATTTTCGATGCATAATTTTAAACATGAACGTTGAGATTTGATGATTGGAAAAAAATTGAGCACTAAGTGAATCATGTGCATTATTTTAGCATTTATACGTCTCAGTGAATAATCAAATACCTGATGTACATATCTGTCATTATATATGTCAACTTCTGGCGATTCCCTGCTTGTCTATTATTGATGTATTGCATGAAATTTCCTTCATACTATATTTTTATAGATTTAGATGTTAGCATTGAATTTGTTTTTGTATTTATTATTATTTTTCCCTTGGGTTCCTAGTGGAACTTGAGGCTTCAGTAGCACGCCTCCATTTCACTCTCTTCTCTGCAGTCTTTTTAACCTGGCACCACGACTGCCCAGAAGCTTTCATTTCGTCCTCACGCCATCTCCTCCATGTCACCTTCGGACGCCCAACTCATCGTTTCCCATTTGACTTCCACTCGAGAGCCTGACCTGGCACGCGATGTCCCCAGTCGGCCTTCTCAATATATGCCCAATCCAATCTATCCCCACTTCCTTCTGCTTATTTGTTGGGCGATAGGTTCTTGGTTGGTTGGTTCGTTGCCAGTCAGAGTTTTCAGTTGCTTATTCTTGTTATTCTGGGCATCTGATCTTCGGTATCGAGTGAGCGTAGGCGGCAGCTGTTGATAAATGTTTGAAGTTTGTTGGAAATGCTTTCCGTAACGCCCCAAGTTTCTGAACCATATAGAAGCACTGACTTGATATTGATGTTGAAAATCGGAATCTTGTTCTAGCTTTATACTGAGTGCAGTGCAGTAGATCTCCACATTGATTTCAGATCAATGAAGGGCTGTCTTGTTGTCTTTCCGATCCTGGCTTTGACAACCTCATCTGTGCCTATGTCGCCTGTAGTTGAAATGATGCTGCCTGCCTAGGTAGGTGAAAGAGACTACTTCCTTTAGGTTTTTCCCGATGATAGTGATTGGTGCCTCTTGTTATTCATGCTGTTGTTGGTTGGGTATCTTCATCTTACTATACAACTATTTTTTTAATATTTCAGTGGACGTGACAAAGAACTGCGTATACAAATGAAGTGAGATTTAACTGTGTGAATACTTGATTTTCATAATATCACTTCTATAGACCTCTAGTACTTGCTTCAGACAATGAGTCAAGCCGACAGAATGAAATCAGTTATATTCAAGGATCCAGTTTTACGCAGAAAAGTTTTTCTTCTTCACGTAAAGAAACCGCTGTAAGTTTCCACAGTACGGGTGACAGATTTTGTTTCTTTGCTTCGAATGACATTCGCATCTACAACTTCACTGTTCTGTTATACCTATTGTTGCAAGATTGTGGACTGTTGATATGTGAAGCTGTTGATTTAGGTTTCGAAAACATTTATGCACCATCTGAGGTCGCGATTGGCATCATTCAGCGATTACTCTTCGGGGTGGGGCTGAACAGCATGTGTTTGTTGCTGAACACTCACTTGTGCCTTCCATTTGTATGTATACTACTGAGAGTTGTTCGTTAGTGAAAATTTGTATTTTATATTACTATGTTAAAATGCTTTGACAGATAAAGCCATTACCGATTATACCGAGTTGTCTGGATGCTTTTTTGAGCAGTTTGTTCATACTTGTCAGCTTTCAGTTGTATACATGCTACGAAAAATACGTCTCATTATAAACGATATAACTCATCTTTTCAGATAATCAATCCAGACAGATATTCACGATCGATAGGGAGTATCAGTGCATCTTCTGGTCATTACTCTTCAATGCTTTCCGAAAGAGCTCATGAGGCCGCTATATTTGGACTCTCTTCCGTCCCTATACCTTCTGTCCTCGGTACTGACCCATCTGAGGCCAAAGATCGATTAGTATCCTCTATGGATACTGTGAAACAATTAATGCATCATTCGGTAATGCATACTTTATAAAATTTCGTTTCTCTTTCATCACTGTACCTGCATTTTTCACAATAATACATAATTTTAAATTAATTTCTTTCCATAAAAATCTCAGTCAGACAGACATAATCAAATTAAAGCCTAACACAGAAGCGCATTGGTTTAATTTGCCACACTTCATAGCAACATTAAAAGAAAAAGTGGATAAAAAAACATTGACATCGAAGTAGATAGAGGTGTATGTGAAACTAAACAAGCTAAAGGTTAGTGTGAATATTCAAGCCTTAGAAGATGCGCCATTGTCACCGATTTTCAGGCATGCCACCAAGAATCTTCAGTCGGTGATTCCTATCGTCTCAGGGACCTCAGCCAGACAGTCTCCATCTCCCTACATGGCTCAGACTAACAGTCATAGACTTCATGCAGTGGTGCCACGTCTTAGTTTGGCTACCTTGAACCCTCTTCCAACCTAATCTTACTTCCCGTAGCATGGCTTGTCGAAGTAGGCAGGTGGTTCGGGATACACAGTACATGTCCAAGCCACCTCAGTCGACTAAGGTCCAGAACCTCGTCAATCGACTTGCAGATCCTGTCTAGTATTCTTTGCCTAACCTCGACATTGCCCATACGATGTAATCTGTGCTATGGAGACACGTGGTCGAAAACCTGTAGTTTCTTCATATCTTCTACTTTCAATGACCATGTCTCACAGCCTTACAACAGGACAAAATGAACTGCAGCGCAGTATACTCACCCTTTGACAGGTAGTTGGATATCTCGCCGGTCGGCGCCAGGGGTGACTGGAATTCGTTTCTGAAATATTTCTTTTCTATAACCGTTGAACTCCGACCCAGTAGCTGAATGGCTAACGCGTTCACCATGAAACCTGAATATTCTGAGTTTGATCCGTAGCTGTGTCGTGCAGGCGTACTGCTAAGGAGTCCCATATTAGGACGAAACAGTTATGTAGTGCTCCCAATTTTTCAGTGGTGAGTGCTACCTTAAAAATGAATCCCGACTAACCTGCTTGGTGGCTTGCAGTGGAATCCAGGACGCGCGTTTTGTCCTGTTCGCGACTCGTCGGTTAAATGCACCTACAACTCAGTGAGTGATATATTCCCTGCTGGGACTCGAACCCAGTGCCCACCGCCTCAAATGCCAAAGCGTTATCCGTTGGGAAACTAGGTTAAGACAGCCACCTTTTGTGTAACAGATATCAGTTGTTGTTTATTGATACTTGTAATCTCCTGTTACTATACTGGGTCGTTTTGTGACGGTCATATCTACCTGTATCACAATCGATTTTGGGCTCCATGTTTGAATGAGCAGTAGGAATACTAGCAAACTGTGATATATGTACAAATCTAGCTGACGTGTTTCAGACTAGCCGAGTTGTGCGTGTTATAGACCAGTTTATAATCAATATTTCATCACAGGTTGTATCTATGTCTTCATACAATGAGCCCCCATGTACCGTCACTCATAAATTAGATTACCTCCAACAAAGTAGGAACCAGTAAAAATTCTTGTGCTTTCATAGATTGTGCTATTGTGAAGCGTAACAGCTTTAATCAATGTGATCTGTTTTCGGGCTTATAACTGAAGTGATATACTATATAGGTAAGTTTTAATATAATCCCACTGAGCTAACAGAAGTTGGAAATATGGACCATTGAATTCTGACCTAATGGCTCAATGGTAACGCGCTGGCCGCGGAACCTGATGGTCGCGGGTCCGATCCCTGGCGGGGTCGTGGGTGCACGCTGCTGAGGAGTCCCATACCAGGACGAAACAAATGTCCAGTACTCCCAGGTTTCCTTTGTTCCTCCAACTGATGTCAGTCTAGGATGAATAACAACTTGAAATAATCCCAGTGCGTTTAGAAAATCGAAATCGAGAATAGACTGAAGAAGCTGTGGCATTCACAGCGTAAAGTTCAGAAAAATCTTGTTTTCGATTTCCTAAACGCGCTGGGACTATATTGAAACTTACTAAAACCTATATAATGAATCAACCTGACTCGGCGCTCAACTTATTTCAGGACGTTCGTAATAACCATGGCTTGGATGTTTATAGTCTGAAGTGATATATTGTCTAAGCGCTTAGATAGTCGAATATTAACGACTGGGTCACTGTTTCTTACTTTCTACAACTGCGTGACTCTGAGCAACTGGCAACGGCAGTTAGCCACACCCAAATAGATGTGCTTCGAAGCTGTTTGGTAGACCACAGTGTGTAGTACTTCGAATTCCTGTTTCTCCTCAATAATCGGATAGTAAACAAAAAGCCAGAGTTTAAAGGAATCTTCCAAATATATGTAAACCGTTCGATCTGTTCATGCAATTAAAGGAATGAATTCTTTTTACACAATGTACATCGATTTCCTTGCTGTCAGTATATTTAATGTCTATTTAGTGGTACTTTGAAATAAACTTGACATTTGTCTTAATTGACAAGCGTTTATTTTGTCTTTCTATCTTCATAGCTTGATAAATCTGATTCTTCTGTATGGGATACTTGGCTAGTTAAACTTACTTCATTCAAGGAACGCAGAGCAAATATACTTCCCTCCACTACTAATATTCAGAAGAGGAGAATCAATGGCATCGGATAATAGTCTTCGTTTTTTCTTCTAATTCCATTGTAATTGTAAAATTTGTTTCCAGGTTATGATTTCTATTCTTTTGAATACAAGACTGTCTCCATATGCTCTCAGTTAAACGGTTATTATTGTAGATATAACACATACTTATATTAAGTAAGGCAACTTTGAGCCTTTTGTTGTTGGTGAATTCTCAAAACTAGCCTTAAGGTAACTCAGTACTACACAGTCGGGAACTAACTGTCAGCGAGGTATATACTTTAGCGATGGATAGTGGCTAGCGGTAGAATCCAGGATATGAGTTTCATTCTATTTGGGACTCGTCAGTTGGGTGAACCTGTCTCCCAGGGGGTAGTTTTTTTCCTATTGGGACTCGAAGTCGGAACCCATCGCTCCAAAACTCTACGACAGCCGCTTCTTGTGTAACGAGAACACTTTTAGTGTTGAGTCCCAAATAGGACGGAACGCGCGTCTTAGATTCCACTGGTAGCCATTATCCATCATTGATATATAATTAAAACATAGATAATATCGAGGCATCCGCTCAGGAGCCCATATGCCAAAAGAGACCGGTCAATTCGACCCAGTCAATGACGGGATAATACAAGCAACAACGTTATGTATTTCTTTGGGTTTTAAAACCTGATTGATCAATCTTGCAATCGACATAATGAAGTGTTTTATAACTAGTTCTGTTTTACAGTACAGTAGACAATGATATTGGTATCTGTTACAGTGTACAATAAGATCTTTGTAGAAAGCCCTAAATCCTCGAAAACCCTTACAACCAATCCTGTTGCTTCGAAGCTTTGTGAAAAAAGCATGTCGGCTAACGTTAAAATTTCATATTGGCTGAAGAGGCAAAATCAATAGGATATTACCTTATTTAAGAGCCTGGGAATAGTCAAGGCCACTATATATATATATATATATATATATATATATATATATATATATATATATATATATATATATATAAAACCACGATCCTCAACGATGACACCTATAATGTTGGTCCTGTTGTTAAACTAACTTGAATTCTGTCTTCGCTGGACAGTCACTAGCTATAATCTATGTTAGGATACAGTATACTTCCAGATGGCAATTCATTGAGTTTAGCATTCATTCTGTTACTGTGATGTACAGGACTTAGTAAAATTAGAATTCAATGCACAAAATGTTCCTCTTTCGGAGTACTGCCTGTGTAAACATGCTTGTATATAATCAACTTAATTCTGAGGACATGTTTGACTAGTGTAATTTACTCATTTTCTAAAGGTTACTGACAATAAAGTTTACCATATTATTAGCCTAACGTGTTTTTTTCTCGATTCTGTTACAATTATTGATTCCACTATTATCGCCTTTATTATGATCCCTGTCTCACCTTCACCAACTATCACATTCCAAAACTATCAAGGATTTTCGTATTGTTGCTTTTCTCGTTAATTGCGTCATCTGGCAGATTTTTACGCAATTTCAGTCTTGCAGCCTACTCGACTTATACTAATATATCCAGTTATATGTTCGTCATTTATATAAGTGGAATTGTATAACCTTGGTGATATCGATGAAAATTTTTTTCTTTGTTCAGCTATCTTTTTCGCTTCTTTTGTTTTATAACAAGAATTTCTGTCCGTATTTGAACTACTCACTGAAGAGTGAATACATTTAACTACAAGTAAAGTGTGCATATCATGGAATCACCGTTTGAGCAAGGCTTAAGACTTGGAAGGGATGACTGTCAACGATGTTGTAAGCCTTTAGAGACTGATGGGTGCCCTGGGACATGTTTTGCTCATACTGAGCCTATGCTTATCTCGACATGTCATGCTAGGGGAGGTTAGATTTGGATGGAAGAGGGTTTAGGATGGGTAGACCGAGATGTGGCACCCGTGTCCGAGGTTCTACATTGATTTTGCCTGTCTAAGGCGTGCTTTTCGTGTTACAGTCGCTATCCAATTGCCTGAATCTGCTTACCTGCATAACTTCAGTTTGACTGACTGAGTTAGTAACGTCGTATTGTTTAGTTAGTTCACTTGAGTGTGGTTGGCTGTTGTGATAGTGTTTGTAGCTGATTGGTTTTCTGTTGGATTTGACTAGTTCTGTTATTTTTTGAGTGGAGACAATCAGCAGGAAGCCCTGGACCTACCTTTCATGCTTTTTGGCACTCATCAGCAAGACGTATCTGCCACTTCTACGAAACTGATGGCCTCGTGATATTCGAACCCGCATCATCCAGTCAGAGAAGTTACCACTGGGCATCATTTCAGTCAGGGTTGCAGATACACCTTGCTGACGAGTGCCAAAAATACGAAATCTAGGTTCAGCAGTTCCTGGCGATTGCCTTCAGCCAACTAACATGTAACTCAGTGCATCTCAGCCGTGACCCTCCTAGCCTGATGACCAAATCGCAGAGTGGTCAAGAGATTTCCATCAGCACTTAGGATTAGTCTACGTGAAGTTGGTTACCCTCCCGTGGCCAAACAATCTACTTCTATTGTTTGATAGTTAATTTTGTGTTTTCCTGACTGATGGATAGATGAATTCCATCCTTACATTTCTGTTAATCCATCTGGATACCTAGAACCCCATACATTCCGAAATTTTAACGTTCACCTAGTCAAATCTATGACACATCCCTGTACAGTAATATGATAGTGCTGAAATGAGTGGATACGAAGAGAGTGAATATTTCATTTGGCAAAGAAGGGTACAATTCAGCTTGATTAGCTGTCCTTTTCAGTCTACCTCTTTAATTTGCATCGTACTAGCTGGGTTTATCATAGGAAATGATATCAGCGATTTTCACAATCCTCGTGATAAATTCTGTAGTGCTCTTGGCCCAATGGATGTATTTCTTTTCTTTACCCGAATTCCCTTAGTAAGTGTTTGCTAACGAGGCTAAGTGTAAATATGCTGCTGCTTTCGGCTCATCATCAAGAGAATGTATGGAGCTGCTTTCCTGGTTTAAATGCACATGAAGTATTCAAATGTATGAAATCTAAAGACTGTAATCAACGAAATATATTTATGTATATACATAAATGTATATTTCGTCTTGGATAAAGTCGACGAACTTAACTCAAAGCAGAGTGTTTAAGTCATTTACATATTTATCAAAGTAAGTAAATTTTAGCCGTAACTTGGCTGTCATTGGTTGGTTGTTTCAATGCAAGATTTGATTGCATGATGAATCAATCAGGAATTTTCTATGCGGTATGAATACAGAAAGATTCATGTGTACAGCTTTTACACTGACAAATTGAGTTTTCCTATTGATCTATGCGGCATATAGTATAAAAAATATCAGTTGGGAAATGATAAAAATATAATTTACCACTACTGCCGTATCTTATAATAAAGGGGTACAACAGAAATAAGTAAAATCCCAATGAGGATTTTATGTTACATCAGACGAAAAGTATACATCGTTAACCTCAGATGAGTACCATTGTTCTTAGTACTGTATTTATTTTAAAGTCATTTTAATGACTACTTGATTGATGACGTTATTGTATAGTTCGGTTTAATGGATTTATATAAACCCATCATCCATTTACGTATGAATTATGGTTAAGAACACCTCGGCAACATTCCTAGCCGAACCTAAGACAGGATAAAGAGGGAGGGTTGGGCATACGGCTAGCAACTCTACCCCGGAAAAACAATTTAACCGCTAAAGAAACTTCGAAGCACAAAGAAAAAAAAGTAGAATTAAACTTATTACTCGTTGGAATCGCAAAGACCAGATGACGCCGGTTGGTGAAAGCCTTCGGGAAGCCAATTGGCCGATGTGTCACCTCTCTCCCGATGATAGCGAAAGTAAACATAGGGACATGGAATGTCTGCGCAATGCTTGAAGCTGACTGCCTAGGTTGCCCAGATTGAAAAAGAAATGGGAAGATATGCCATAGAAGTACTGGAAATCTGCGAAAGCAGATGGAATGGAAATGGACTCTCCAAACTGTCAACTGGAGAGTCGATAATCTACTCCGATATTATCACCCAGAAGACAATAACAGGCACACTGAGTTTTGGAGTGACTATCATGATGTCCCCAAGAACATCGAAGGCTCTTGTAGTGCACCTTCCTGGCACCAAAATATAACTAGGGCTAAAATAAATAGTTTAGATTAAATTAACTAAATAAATCTCTAGCTTGCCTCCGGATGCTTAGGGTGTTTTAAGTTTTGTTTTAACGAGCATGCATCCGAGCAGGCTTGGACGCCATTTTTGCGCTCCATTGTGCTGATCACCACGCACGTACTCCGAGTCCCTAGTTCAGCCTGACAAGCCAGATAAGTTGATTAAACTTTTCCCTCATTCATTATTATAACATTTACCTTAAATACATAGCTCCTTTAAATACATTGCGTATCAGTTCTTTTGATTTGTGTTTTGTTACCAGTACTTACACGTTAGGTAAAGTACTGGTTAACCAGGTACTAGAGCACATCAAATTAAGTAGGGTTGGTCAATCGTTACGGAATTGTAACACTCGTCCCTACAAAAATTGGTGAGCCCGAGTATCACTTCTTACTTTGTCTAGTACCTTTGTTCTCTTGCGTTGATTTGTCTGGCCTAATTTTGTTTTTGGCACGTCTAGCGTTTTTTTAATATTATTGCACTCCTCACTGGTTATTTTTGCAGTGTAATTTTTTTATTATCACTATCGTGCCTTGTTAATTCCCTGATCAATGGCGGATAACGACTCGACTGCGCAGATGGCCATAACCCTCCAGCTTCCCACCTTCTGGGCCCACAGACCATCTGCATGGTTCTCCCATGTGGAAGCTCAATTTGCCTTGAGACACATTCAATCACAAGAAACTAAGTCCAACTTAGTCATCGTCAGCTTACCGGAAAATGTGATCGACGACGTCTCAGATGTGCTAGATGACCCAGCACCGAATCTTTACGATCGCCTCAAAACCGCCCTCATCAAACGTGTTGCACTTACTGACCAGCAGAAAGTGCACGAACTTTTCAGGGATGTGCATCTGGGTGAT